ATTCAGCTGAAGTTTTTATCACTGGTTTCTGCTTTCTTCCTATCCATTTAATACTAGAGTGCCTTGGGGCTCAGCCCTAGCTCATCTTTATTTGTATCTACTCCCTTGGTGACCTGCTCCAGGTTCATGTCTTTAAATACCATCTTTATGCCAACAAGTCCCAGATGTGTGCCTTCAGTCCAGAACTCTGAGTGTCAAACGTAAGAACATCCAAACATCAACTCCTGATCTTCCTTCCAAACCTGCCCCCCTCAGCTTTTTCATCTCAGTTAATGATAACTAAGCATAGCAGTTTATTAGGTCAGAAAAGTGACAAGGGACTTGTGTGGATTTTGAGTTTTCTCTGAATAAGATAAGAAGACAGAGTTTTGAGCAAGAAATGGAATTATCTGACATATTTTAAAAGGCTCACTCTGGCTGCTTTGCAGAGAGCAAACAGTGGAAGCACAATGATACATCAAGAGAGACCAGTTAGGAGGCTGCTGCAGTAACCCAGGTGTGAGATCATGATGATTTGGATTGGGGCAGTAGTAGTGGTGAGAAGTGGTCAGATTCTGGATGTGTTTTCAAGGTAGGGTTAATAGGATTTCTTGGCAGAATGCAGGATGTGAAAGAAAGAGAAGTCAGGGCCGATTCTAAGACTTTTAGTCTGAGTAACTGGAATAGTGGTGTGACCATCAACTGAGATGGGGAAGATTGTATATTGAGTTTGGGATGTCCACTAGATGTTGAAAGAAAATGTTTGAATGGGAATTTGAATATTCTTGTCCATTTGGAGTTCAGGAGAGAGGTCTGGACTGGTTATGTAAATCTGGGACTTATTGGCATATAGATGGTATTTAAAACCTCAGACTGGAAGAGATCGCTAAGGTCTAAAACATTTGTAATAAGGAGAATTTCCTATAGACCGAGAGCATTGGTTCTCAACCAGAGGTGCTTCCCCTGGGATATTTGACAATGTCAAAACATTTTTGGTTGTGGTGAGTGGTTGCTACTGAGACCTAGTGGATGAAGAGCAGGGATGCTGCTCTATATATGCTATAATGCACAGGACAGCTCCCAACGACAAAGAATTACCTGGCTAAAAAGTCAGTAGTGTCAAAGTTGAGAAACCCTTGTGTAGATGGAGAAGGCTAAGGACAGGGCCTGGGACACTGCAATATTTAAAAGGCAGAGAGGAAGAGGAGGAACCAGCAAAGGAGACAGAGGAGTAATCAGGCAAATAGGAGGAAATGGAACGTTGTGAATCCTGGAAGGCAAATAAAGACAGTTTATCAACAAGGAGGTGTGTCAAATGCTACTGATTAGGGATATGGTGTCATGTGCCTGCAGTCCCAGCTACTAGGGAGGCCGAGGCAGGAGGATCACTTGAGCCTTGGAGTTCAAGGCCAGCCTAAGTACCATAGTGAGATCATGTCTCAAAAAAAAAAAAAAAAAAAAAAAAAGTAAAATTGGATAACTGAGAATGAATCATTGTATTTGTCAACATGTGTGTCATTTATGATCTTGAGGAAAACAGTTTCGGTATACGTGTTGGGTGGATTTAAGATAGAATGGAAGGAAACGTAACGCAGACAGCTAGTACTGAAAAGTTTTGGGAGAGGTTTTGCTGCAAAGGAAAACAAAGAAATGGGGCCCTGGCTAGCCAGAGCTAAGTATCAGAGAGCTGGGCATGAATTTAGAGTGACTGTCAGACCACATCAGGGACCCTAGAACCAAGGGCAAGGTAGACCCAGGTTGAAGTGATGCTGGACACAGGTCTAGAATGAGACAAAGGTCTAGAAATTGATGATTTTTGTTGGTTATGGCTTCATGAGTCAGAGGTAAGTGTGATGGCTGGGGCCGAACTGGACCAGACACTTTTGAGACACACTATTCTTTATATTCTATCCTTTCCAGTTCAAATAAAGGACTGGAGCTGGCGTATGAATTCTTCACAGTAACTCAGTACAAGACTCTCTGCTATCTCTGACTTCTAGGGATAGACTTATTTTATGTGGCTCCAAGGGAGCAGGTGAGTTTCAGGGCCCTGTCTGGACTATTGCAGCAGTCATTTATCTAACTCCAGCTTGGCTTTCACTCCCTTCTCTATTTCCAGAGTCTCTCTCTCTCTCTCTCTCTCTCTCTCTCTCTCTCTCTCTCTCGCTTTCTAGATGGAATCTCACTCTGTAGCCAGGCTGGAGTGCAGTGGCATGATCTTGGTTCACTGTAACCTCTGCCTCCCGGGTTCAAGCAATTCTCCTGTCTCAGCCTCCTGAGTAGCTGGGACTACAGGCATGTGCCACCATGCATGGCTAATTTTTGTATTTTTAGTAGCGACGGGCTTCACCATATCGGTCAGGTTGGTCTTGAAGTCCGGACCTCCTGATCCACCTGCCTTGGCCTCCCAAAGTGCTGGGATTACAGGCATGAGCCACCGTGTCCAGCCTCCTAAGTGATCTTTCTAAATGCAAATCTGAGTCTTTCATTCCCTAAGAACTGTGTATAGCTTCCCATCCTAATCATGATAAAAATGCAGGCCTGCTGTGTGGCATACAATATTATCTCAGACTTAGTTTTCCTTGTGTCTTCCAGGCTTATATCCTGCTCCTCTCTGCCTTGCAGTGGATACTGGACTTCTCCAAATCCATGGTTCCATGTATTCACCATGCAGAGTCACACCTCCAAACCTGTGCTCAAATTGTTTATGCTTCCATAATACCCTATCTACATTTCTGTGCTTGGTCAACTCCTCCTCATTTTTCAAGACTAATTTCCTTTAGGAAGCTGTATACATTAGAATTTAATTTAGTTGCAATAGACAAAAAATAACAGTGGCTCTATTGCTGCCCTGGAGAAAACATGAGAAAGGAGGATATTCAGGGGTCCACAGAGAAGAACATCAGATGCTTCCACAGTCTGTTCTTGGAGCCACTATTATTCAACGGGGACTGGCAAATCCTAGCCTGATCTTCCTTAGATTTCGAGACTGTGATGTTGCTGCCTGATATGTGCTTCAGCTCTAGGGAATTAAAGTAATATATTTTGCCTCACATTTTACCTGAGCCTTGTTTTAGATTAACTTGTTACTTCGTTAATTCATTCACTGACTGATTCACATGTGGGTTTGCTCTAACTTACTATGAAAAAGTCTGTTTCTTCTGGCTTAATCATCAGGGTTTCTGGAGGTGTGGAATAGCAGACTAATTATCCCTCTGTATCTACTCATGTTTTTGAGATGAATTACCTGTAGTATAAATTCTTTGCTCATTCACTGTATTATTTGTTTAAAAATAACTATTGAGCACTTGTCACTTACCAGACACAGTGCTTGGTGCTCAGGATGCAGAACGAAAGACATTCCTCGTCCTGAAGCAGCTGCAGTCTAGTGTCAGGGTGGACAAGGATAGCAAGAGTGGAGTGTGATCAGTTCTTAGGTCAAGGTGTACCTGAAGTGTTATGAGAGTGCAGAAGAGGGGCATGTAACTGAGACTTGGAGTCAGGGAAAAACCTTAAGAGAAAGTAATGCCTGGAGGTTGCAGTGAGCTGAGATTGTGCCACTGCACGTCAGCCTGGGTGACAGAGTGAGACTCCATCTCAAAAAAAAAAAAAAAAAAAAAAAAAAAAAGAAGAAAAAAGAAAAAAAGTAAAAGAAAGTAGTGCCTGAACTGAGTGATGAGAGACCTAGGAGTCAGCAGGAAGCTAACATGGGCTGAACCAGCTTGATGGAATAGAATTCTCTACAATTTCATCAACCCTAAACCCACACCATTTAAAATAAATCTTCAAAGTAAAAACAATGTGCTTGGTAGGTAACTTTATCACAAGTTCCCTAATCTCCATCAACCCACCCAATGTTACCCCAAATAAATATATAATACAAGTTCCTCAGTTTCAACTAGATCCCCACTTGGATTTCTATCTCTTCTCTAGAGACTTCTGGAATGTCACTGCCCTGTTTTCTTCAGTCCACTCCATTCCTCGAACTCACCCCTGTCCCTGATACCTACAAATCAGCATCATCCTTGGGCTCATCTAAAGCAAGTAATGAGAGATGGGTGGAGTTGAAGGACAAGGCAAAGTTCAGGGGAGAGATGAGGCTTTAGGATGAAAAAGGACCAGGAACGGGATGGGGATAACTGCTGCACATATCCTGTGGTATTACGTGGCACTAAGAGTCTGCCTTATACCTTAGAAGTGCTCTTTCTCCATCTCTGGTGATAGCGTAGAAGATAAAGTGGAGAGAGTCTTACTCACTAGTGCGTCTTACCAAGGGCTATTTTTTTTTTTTTTTTTTTAAGAGACAGGGTCTAGTTCTGTCAACCCGGGCTGGAGTGCAGTGGTGTGATCATAGCTCACTGCAGCCTTGAACTCCTAGGCTCAAACAATCCTCCTGCTTCAGCCCCTCAAGTAGCTGGGACTACAGGCATGTGCCACCATGCCTGGATAATTTTTTAATTTTTGCAAAGATGAGGTCTCACTATGTTGCCCAGGCTGGTCTCAAACTCCTGAGCTCAAGCAGTCCTCTTGCTTTAGCCTCCCAAACTGCTGGGATTAGTTGTGAGCCGCTGCATGAAGCCCATTTTAACCATTTTTAAGTGCACAGTCCTGTGATGTTAATCATTGGCATTGTTGTGATTTCCTAGTACTTCTTGAGCTCTTTCTATCTGTAGACGTTGGGCCTCCCTTAAGTCAAGATAATTCTCTTGTAGCATATCTCGATTTTTTTTTGGGCAACTGTTGTTGTATCTGTCAGTATGTGTGTGTGTGTGTGTGTGTATGTATGTGTGTTTCAACCAACATGTCAAATCTTGAGTCTACAGGAGAGTGCAGTAATGTGGGTTCTAGTAGTTTCTCTATTCTTATTTTATTTATTTATTTTTTTAGAGAGGTTCAGCAAAATGCTCTGTGGGTAAACCAAGAACTTAGTTTGCAAAGGGCTTTTGGTAGCCTGTGCACACAACCCAAGCACATACGATATGAGTGAATGTCCACACACAAGCATGCCCTTGCTTTCCCAGGTCACCTGTGGAGAAATAAACATCATCTCTCATCAGAGAATTGTTCCTCCGTTTGATGATGAGTGCATCCTGACATCTGGAATTCAATTGACTGTTTTGTCTTAGAGCCAAGAATCTAGAAAGTGGGTGGGAACATCAGCTATGAGTCAATATTTCACAATGTCACTGAAGAGAACATATCAACACTCAGTTAACAGGCAGCAGCCCCGTGCGTACGATGACGAAGTCTGGACACATGTGAGGGTGTGAGTGTGAAAGAGGGCTGGGTCTGGGGACTTTTGTAAGAATGTTTCCATGCCTAGCTCAGTGCTGGTCGCATGTTTGGTTAAGCAGGACACTTCCTTACTGAGAGTCTGTTTGGAACTGATTTTCTATTCACTATTTATTTTGATCTTCTGATTTTCTTCATTTTAATAGGTTGTTAGCAAAATCAGCTTAATGCTGGTTATATACATTGATTAACTGTTTTGCCAACCATACAAACACAACCAGTAAATGCTTGTGTGTCACTGAGATAATTATTGTAACTGTATTCATACTAGAGGGATAGACCAACAATATGTTAGGAAGAAAGTTTTTCTTCTTTTTAGTAAGAAGTAAATTTGATACTCAGGAGGTAGCATGGTAGACTTAGAATGCCCCTCCCTACTTTGCTTATCCTTCAAGGTCTGACTGAAATATGACCTCCTCTCCAAAGCCTCACATAGTCTTCCCAGGCCCGATCATGGTTCCTTCTTTAGCTTCTGCGAGTTCTCATAGCACTGCAGATAGCTGTGTATATTTACTGGAGGCAGGAAAGTGACTCTTTTTTTTTTTTTTTTTGAGACAGAGTTTCACTCTTGTTACCCAGGCTGGAGTGCAATGGCGCGATCTCGGCTCACCACAACCTCCGCCTCCTGGGTTCAGGCAATTCTCCTGCCTCAGCCTCCTGAGTAGCTGAGATTACAAGCACATGCCACCATGCCCAGCTAATTTTTTGTGTTTTTAGTAGAGACGGGGTTTCACCATGTTGACCAGGATGGTCTCGATCTCTCGACCTCGTGATCCACCCACCTCGGCCTCCCAAAGTGCTGGGATTACAGGCTTGAGCCACCGCCCTCGGCAGGAAAGTGACTCTTATTTATCTTTTGCATGTAGTAGAAGCCCTGTACATTCTGATTAGGTTTTCTTGTTTCTATTTTTTTTTTTTTTTTAAATTTTTGTTTTTTGAGACAGGGTCTCGCCCAGGCTAGAGTGCAGTGCAGTGGTGCGGTCATAGCTCATTGCAACCTTGAACTCCTGGCTCAAGCAATTCGCCCACCTCAGTCTCCTGAAGGGCTGGGATTATAGGCATGAGCCGCCACCATGTCTGGCCCTTGATTCAGTTTTAATTTAGATTTTCAAAAAGTGAAAAGAAGGTTTATTGTTTTTGCTAATTTTATACTTAACCAGGCTCATTGAATTGGAATTAGACAACAAAGTAGAACGTGCAGTCACCTTCAGCCTACCACTTAGAGACAACCATTATGGGAATATTTTGGGATATTTATAAACTTAGAGATTTTTCTAAATAAAAATGGAATCACATTATCACTCCTTTGTCAGATGCTCTTTTAACTCAATATGCCATAGGCATCTTTCTTTTTTTAACTCAATATGCCATAGGCATCTTTCTTTTTTTAACTCAATATGCCATAGGCATCTTGCTCTATCGCTTAGGCTGGAGTGCAATGGTACAATCTCAGCTCACCGCAACCTCCGCCTCCCAGTTTCAAGTGATTCTCCTGCCTCAGCCTTCTAAGTAGCTGGGATTACAGGCATGCGCCACCATGCCCAGCTAATTTTTTTTTTTACTTGATATCACCTGATATCAAGTGATCCACCCACCTCAGCCTCCCAAAGCATTGAGATTTCAGGCATGAGCCACCATGCCCAGCCATCATAGGCATCATTCTTTGTGAATACATATGGAGCTAGACCCACCTGTTTAACCAATCACCCTATGTTAAATTTTTAGGTTATTTCCAATTTTTCCTACTACTATAAATAATACTGTGTGAAATATCCTTATACATACAACTTTGTATCCTGTTTCCATTCTATTTACCCAGTCACTCTAAAAAAATTTTAGGGTATTGTCAATATTTTCCTATTGCTATAAATAATACTTGGATAAACATCTTGTACATACACCTTTGTCTCTTTTTCAATATTTTAAGGATAACTTCCTAGAAGTAACCTCATTGGTTACCCATTGGTCAGAGGGCATATACTTATAAAACTTTTGGATACATGTTGCCAAAGTACCCTGCAAAAGGTTTTGCCAGTTTGCACAGTTATTACCTGTATGTTAGAATTCCTCTTTCACTCTACTGTTGGCCACAGTGGAGTTTGTGAACATTTAAAAACTTTATTAAGTATATTTTGTGAACTAGATGTTAAGCTTAACCACAAACATCACGGTTTCTCTAGGGAAGTATATCCCATCTAAATGGCCAACTTAGAAACAGCCTTTCTCCATTAGCATGTGGTTGCCTGTGAAAAATACCCTGAAATCATTCTTTAACACCACTCATAAAAAATGTACAAGGTATGAGGTGGGTCCCTCCAAGTTGGTTAATTACTGTATCTCAGAGGACATGAAAAACAAATAGTCTCTTCTTTAAGGGAGTCTTGGGCCATGCAATCTCATGACAACACTATCCGGTTGTTCTAGGAGATATTTATTATTAATTAATGGAGTAGACAGGTCAGTCACTATACCCAAGACCCCTTGAAAAGATTCAGGGCAAGAGATGAATTGATGAGGTCCCTCCAAATATGGCTTTTCATCCAGCAAATTATATTTAGACACCCGGCACTAGAAATATGTAGACAAATTGGAGAGAGTTCAGAGAAAGGCAATAAAAAGATGAAGGAAACAGAGGGACTGATTTATGAGGAGAGATTAAAGAAACCAAAAACACAGAGCCAGGACCCAGAAATGACTTCAGGGAGCAGGGTAACAAACAGCAAATACCTTTCCGTGTAAACCACCAAAGTGGAGACTTGTTTAGCTTGGTACCAAGAACATAAGCAGTGGCAGTGAGGTGAAATGAAAGAGAAGAATCTGGCTTATTAATTTATTCAGGAGTGTCTCTAGAGAGAGGTTAGAAGTTCCCTGGCTGGAAACGTTTAGCACCAGACAGCACTCAGCCCCCGCAAGGAGAGGATTCTAGACCGGAAAACAAGAAAATAGACTTGCAGGTTAGATCATGCCGAGCCTTGGAGCCCGTCCACGTTGTTACCTCATGGCGACCGTATTAATACACTATCTGGGGTCTCGAAGGTAAACTAATACAGCTCATCTCTTTTTCATTTCCTGACGTTAATGCCTCTTTAAGTTAGCAAGTTTGATCAGGTTTGAACATATGCTTTTTCAATCAAGTCTGTCTGCATGGTGTCTTTGTGACAGAGGTGGGTGCCGAAGCTGGGGTTCAGGTGGATGCTGGAGATATCTCTGGGCTCCTTTAGTGCCTGTCTGAAATCGCCAAGGAAGAGAGGAAAGAACCAGGCAGTGGGAAACACAGCCCACCTGCCCTAAGCCAGAGAGGATCACATCAGTTAGCTCTCATAAGTTTTGCCCTAAATCTCATCCCCATAACAAAAATGTAGGAGCTTTGTCTCTTCAAAAATCTACCAGGTTCCAGGGGATCTGGAGAAGGCTTGTGGGGGCCTCCTTGGGGTTTCCTTGTCCTTCTGTCAATAAGAGAGAGTTAACTTGCTTGGATTTGCTCCAGTCAGTATTCGGTGATCCAGAAAAAGGGGAATGGAACAATAAGAAAAATGGAAACAAACAGCAGTACACACACACCATGCACATCTATTGTTTAAAGCCTTTTACACCTTCATAACAAGCCAACGAGTGTTTCCCAAGCCACGGTCGTAGGCCTGACGCTGAGTTGGTGCTGTGGGGAATGCCCACGCAGGCTTTTTGTGTGATGCCCAGAATCAGTGCTGGAGCAATCAGAGGTGGTGAAAAGAAAGTGAGGAGAACCGAGGCTGGCTGACTGTGCTGATGTCCTTCGTTAGGGGCGCATGTGGGAGAGAGAGAGCGACAGTGTTCAGGTTAGCAGCTTGAGCTTTGACCACAGACAAGGCTTTCTTGTCTATACTAGCTGTGCGATCCTCGTCGAATTATTTAACTTCTCTAGGTCTTGATTTGTTCATCAGTAAAAGCAAAGATGAGAGTACCTAGCTCATGGGATTGCTGGGAGGGTTAAATAACTAAGACATATAATGAGCTTAACCGGTCTGGCACAAAGTAAGCACTCAATAAATGTTAGCTCTGAGAGGTCGTGCTCTTCCTGCGTGCATAAACGGAAACTCCTATCTTGAAGTCCAGGGGGCCTCCAGCACCCATCTGTTAGAAAGGAAAGGCGATCTTCCCCTCTATTCCTTAATTTGCTGGCCATGGATTCCCAGGGAATCCATCATTGCAGTGAAAAGTTTTAAATTTTGACTTTTTGATTTCAATATTTTATTACAGAATACATTTAATGTTTTGATACTTTCAAAAACAAAATCCAACCTGATTTTGGATCACATCTGTGACTACCTTATAACCAAACACTTAACTAGTATCATTTAATTTTAATGCCCACATTTGCTTCTAGTTCATAACTGTTGACACCAAGTGATCACAGAAAGCCACAGCTTTAAACTTTCCTTTGCAATGAGCTGCAAGCCCCTATTTTTCTGTATTTCTTAAGTTGGTCATTACTCAGAAAACAGAGCAATGACAACCACCATGGAAAGCAGGAGTGGGGAAGGTGGGAGGCCATGTCTAGGGATGTCCCAGGAGTATCTCCAAAATGGAGAAAGTTCCAGAAATAGGAGGCAGCATCAGGTAGTAATGAGCTGTGAGCCAGGCTGATTTGGGTTCAAAGGTCAGCTCAGCCACCTGAGCTGTGATCTTGGAGCTTAATGCCCTCACGGCTAGGTGAGAATTAGAGAATCATTTATGTGAAATCCCTTGCCTCATCCACCTGCAGATATGTACTCACTCCCATCCGAACGCCAGCATCCCCTCACTGGCATAGCACAACATATGGAGAGAAGGGGAGAATTTCTAATGTCCAGTAGGAGACTTGGTAGCAGGGGC